TGGAGGTTGCTGTGAGCTGTGATGCCACGGCACTCTGCCCAGGGGGACAGCTTGAGGCTCTGTCTCAAAAAAAAAAAAAAAAAAAAAAAAGAGTGGCACTCCTCTATTGGTTTGGGAGCAATCAGGTGAAGAGAAGCAAAGACAGGACAGAATAATAACTATTATTACTGATCAATTACTACATTATCGAGTCCTCCATATATGTTGTCTCTAATCTTTAACAAGACAATTCTAATCATCACTATTTCACACTTCAGCAATTTGAAGTTCAGAAAAGTCCAAAGCTTCACAGCTAACAGACAGGAGAGTCCAGATTCAAACATGTTAGGCCTCAAAGCCTCAACTCCTACTGAATTTTTCTATCTCTTAAACTCTCATGTAAACTCACTTTACATGTAAACTCTCGGTCTAGTTCTGTCCTTCAAACTATAAATTACCAAAACTCTCTTAAGGGTCCACAAGTAGAATGAGAACTTCCTTAAGAACCATGTCTTTCTTGTACTTGTCACCCACAGGCCACATGCAGATTATGGGAGGACTGTTTGGCTTATCTGTGGTGTTAGATATTATAAAAATTATGCATGGACTTTTTTTTTGCTCATTAGCGTTAGTGTATTTAACGTATGGCCCAAGGCGACTCCTCTTCTTCCAGTGCAAAAGAAAAAAGGTTTGACACGCCTATATCCAGTTAATTTAAGAGATCATTGTGCCACAGTGGAAAACAAAATGAAACAGGAATCAGAAATGTGGGTTCTGTGCTCGCTTCAGCAGCACATAGACTAAAATTGGAACGATACAGAGAAGATTAGCATGGCCCCTGCGCAAGGATGACACGCAAATTCGTGAAGCGTTCCATATTTTTTACACAATTATGATCTAATAAAAAATAAAATAAAATAAATAAAAACTAAGTTAACTTCAAAAAAAAAAAAAAGAAATGTGGGTTCTCACTTCAGCTGTGCCATCAGAGAGCACTTTACCATTTCAAGATTTTTTGGTTTTATTGTTTTGGTTTTTTTTGAGACAGAGCCTCAAGCTGTTGCCCTGGGTAGAGTGCAGTGACATCACAGCTCATAGCAACCTCCAACTCCTGGGCTTAAGCAATTCTCTTGCCTCAGCCTCCCAAGTAGCTGGAACTACAGAGGCGCCGACCACAACCCCCAGCTATTTTTTGGTTGTAGTTGTCATTGTTGTTTGGCAGGCCTGGGCTGGATTCAAACCTCCCAGCTCTGGTATATGTGGCTGGTGCCTTAGCTACAGGCACCAAGCCTCAAGCTTTTTTCTGATCTGTAAAATAAAAATTTGGACTAATATCTTTTCTTTCTTTCTTTTTTTTTTTTTTTTTGCAGTTTTTGGCTAGGGCCGTGTTTGAACCTGCCAGCTCCAGTATATGGGGCTGGCGCCCTGCTCCTTGAGCCACAGGCACCACCCTAATATCTTTCTAACTTTAAATTTTAAAAGCTTAGTATTAACTTTTTTTTAACCTAGCTAGGCCCTGACAGACAGGTACCAGTCAGTCTTCCAAATCAACTTGTTCCCTGTGCATTCTACTATAACCAAAGATGTATCTATTCTCATATAGGACAACAGGAGTACAAAGGTTTTATTGTCATTACTGTTCAAGTAGAAGGAAAAAAACTTTGATATTCCTGAGGGTACCAATGTGAATACTCATTGACAGCACAGCTTAAACTTACCATTCTGCAATTCTCTCCAGCAACTTCATTCCTTGGATGCTGAGAAGCATTTAAATGAGAGTTACAGCAAAACAGCTAACTTCTAGTCACAGTAATAACCTTTGGAATTTTTTTTAAGATCAATTTGGGATGTTGACTGGGTTTATCACTTGAATTGCACAGCAATTTATTTAGAATGTTCTTCTAATAGTCTGTGCATTTCATTCCTGACTGGAGAACCTACCTAAAACCACGGAGATTGATTCTAAAGCCCCAACCAGCTCTAACATTTTGTTATAATGTTAAAATAACAACACATTTCACATGCAACAGGTCTTTTTCTACTAGCTTATTTAAAAAAAAACAAATTCTTGAAATTCTAATGAAGTAGAGAGCTAAGGAGCAACAAATTATTTAAGGTCTTAAGAAGGCTTGAGGGCCTATTTTTCTAAAATGAATCACGTTGACACTGACAAAAGTCATGTGAGGAAGGGGTCTCAAGGTATGACTTGTACGTAGCCAGGGTCAATGCTGTTGGAGAAAGCACTGAGTTTTACTTGGTATTCCCCGTCTAAAGATTTCCAGGGATAAAATCTACTCTCCATGTCCTTTTTTCCTTCTCACAGTACTTATAACTTGTTGGAACACTAGCAATCTACATTCAAGAGAAACTCCTACTTAAAATGTTTGTTTCCTATGAAAGGATTTCTCCATTGTTAGTTGTGTAGGACAGTCCTTACTTTCAGTGAGAAAGCCATCTGAGTCCAAGTCAATTTTCTTTATGATGGACCGCAGTCTTTTTTGCTGTTCTTCGTGGCCGAGTTTAACATATTCATCGACTTCTTCCTTTGGGGGAAGCGATGCACAGGAGAGTCAAGCATTACCATCAGTGGGGCAAAATGGTGGAGATAAACAGGGCTGCTAGAAGCCTCCTTTGCCAGGGTTTTTTGGGGTGACCCACACCTGCTCTCCAAGCCCTACGCATCCTCAGAGATCCCGCCCAGGGTCCGGACAGAAGAAAGGACCCAGCCTTTTGGCCACGCCATATCCTCAGGCTTCACAGGCCCCGGGGTCCCCCAGACCCAGAGAGCGAGCGATGCCCCGCCCGGCCCCCATTGTCAGGCTGCCCCGGCCAGGCCTAGCCCGGCCGCCCCCCTTTGTCCCGGGACAAAGCCCGCGGCGGCGGCGTGGCGAGGCCAGGCCCTCCCAGCCCCCGGCCTGGGCGCCTCACCTGGACGCCCAGCAGCGTCTCGCGGTCGTAGTCGCTGCGGTGCTCGCCCTGCGGGTAGTGGAGCTCCTCGGCCTTGCCGGCGCCCGCCGCCGCGGCGCACAGCAGTAGCAACCCCAGTGCCGCGGGCCCCAGGCCCAGCCGCATCGCTCTGGCCAGCCGAGGACACCGAGAGACGGGAGGAGGGAGGGACCAGCGGCCCAGGTCCGCTGTGGCGCTCCGCCGGCGACTACAGAGGAGCGGCGCGGTGTACGTGAGATGGGGGAGACCGAACACGGAGAGGGGCGGTGGCAGCGGCTGCTACAGACAAGAACCTCACTGCCCCGGACCGGGACAACTGCGGAGCGGAGGCGCGCCGGCGGAACCCTATAAGGCCACGGCAGAGGGGCGGAGCACCCTGCCGTACCGCTGATTGGACAGCACGGCACTGGGGGCGGGACGCCACAGGCCTTAGGGTGGGGGTCCGCCGCAGGCCTTAGGGTCCAGGAGGCAGGTCCCGGCCGTGGGGATGGGAGGAAACCTCCTGCGCCTTCACCCTTAAGAAGCGTGACACCCTTGGAAAAATACGTTCCTATCCCACCCCCACCCGGTCTGGTTCCTTCAGCCTTGTTCCTACTGGAAACGTCCTCACTACCCGCTGTGTCCCTCCTGGCTTTCATCAATGAGAAAGGCTGGAGGTTTCAGTGCAAACCACACAGTATCTGGAAAAATCTTTGCCTGAGGAACCAATCAACCAACGGTATATACTTCTCAATCTTCAACGTATCTCCACTTAATTATTTTTCCAGAGTTGGGAGTTTGAACCCAGGAAGGACAGGCAGATGTTTGTATCTGATGCTCAATTTCATGATCTACAAGTTATGTATGTGACCTTGGCCCTTCGAAAACTTGCTGGCTTATTCATAAAATGAGTACAATAATAAGACTACCTTAAAGAGTGTTCATCCAGGCAAGCAGAAAAACAAAAGATGATTGTGGAGAAGGAAGATTTAGCAAGTACCTAGCAAAACCTTTACAGATAGAATGCATATACATGTGCTTCTATTGCAGGGCTACTAACAGGTCTGTGCAATTTCTCCATCTCATCTAGAGCACATTAAACTCTAAGAAATTTGTAGGCTGCACCTGGAACCCTTTTCTTTATTAATTGCTCTATTTAGGATCAGGACTTCCACACAGAAGTAAAGGCTTTCTGGGTCCTCTTTCACTTTTCACATTCTGTTTGGACTGGAAGCAAGAATTTTATTCCAAACTGAAAAACTGAGTGGGCACAAGTTGCGCAAATTGTCTGGATCAGGTTGGAATTTTACTGTGTTTGATCAGAGATCATTAAAAGGTTTACACAAGAAGAATAAATTTAATCCTCCCAGTGTTACAAAGATCAGTGAAGAACAAAGTTTTAAATTTCAGGTGTAAATATAAGCAGTATTTTAGAGTTGATTTCATTAAAACAAACAAACTGGGGTGGCTCCTGTGGCTCAAAGGCGTAGGGCACCAGCCCCATATACTTGAGGTGGTGGGTTCAAACCCAGCCCCGGCAAAAAAAAAGAAAAAACAAAAAACTGAAAAGGAAAGAAGTCATCCTTTTAATTTTAACTTTGGTTCTGGGTTTTGGAGTAGTCTAAGGAAGAAATAAAAGAGAAATGCTGCCATTTTGTAAGGAACTCAGTTTTGTACCTATTGTTCTCCAAAAGGTAAAGGGTAAACTTTGACCAGCTTCTCATTTGATCCAGTTAAAAGGGTGGTATACAAGGTACTATGGAAGTTCTTCTAAACTCAGGGGCTCCACAGGTGGAGGTTTGGGGGTAGAGGGAATTTAATGGGGTAAATAGCATAAATGTCTAAGTGACAGAGGCTTGGATTCTGTCTGTCTTTGATCCCCAGAAAGGCTGTTTTCCCTCTCTGGGCCTGTTTATTTCATGTGAAGAAAAGGAATGGGCTCACTCCGAGGAATCTTAATTTAAGATCTTTGGGCTCCTAAGTGGGTCCCAGGATGGTTGGGTTTCAGCGGTGTATTAATCCACAATTCATGTTCATATGTACATTTCTGGGGAGGAAGTTTATAGTTCTGCTTTCATCAGAGTTTCTAAAACTTTTACGTGGCAGAAAAGTTAAGAGCCCCTGAAGATGTCTCTAAGCAACTCTTCATCTCTTAAAATCCACAATTTTATTAGTTAAGATTGTTCGGAAGGGGCAACTGTAGCTCAGTGGTTAGAGTGTTGGCCCCATGCACCGGGGGTGATGAGTTTGCACCAGCCCGGGCCTGCTAAACAAAACAAATTGTTTGGAAGCAGATTACAATAAAGACCTATGCTCAAGAGAAGCATGACTGATCCAATGTTATTACTAGTAATTAATTCATTCTATGCAGGGAAAAATAAATATATAAAATGAGTAGCCTGTCAAAAAAAGTGTTATGAGAATCCAGAGTTTAATTTTCTTGATTTATAAAAGCCTATTGCATGCAACAATTTTGGTTTTATTTGCATTTTTATTGAGGCATAACTTACATATAGTAAAGTGCACAAATGTTAAATGTGCAGTTCAATGACTTTTTTAGATTTGTTTGTTGCTATTACTACAAGGCTCTGGGGGCCTTGAGGTCAGGAACTGTGTGATTTCTTCTAGTGCCCCTGCTAATACAAGAAATTCAATAAATTTGGGGGGAATGAATGAATTAAGTTATACTGGCATTCTTCTAGAAGTACATTTAATAGGTAGTAGAGTTAACCGAAACTAATCAAGGAAAGAATTTGTAGATTTCTTTTTGAGTTTGGTAAGAAGTGTGTGAATAGTGGCTTTAAAAAAAAGCAATACTCACTTAACATGTAGTATGCACACTTGTGCTAAAGGCTGATTTCCACTGGAATGAATGAGACTTGGCACAATAAACAACTTAAGTGGAAAAGCCAACAAACTCAATGAGTTTGCAGCTTTGCACAGATGAAAAACACAAGACAAAGGAATAGACTATACAGCAGTGAATGGAAGAACAACTTAGACCGGATGATCATGCAATTAGGGGGATTTTGTTGGTTGTTTAATCTTTTGTCAGTCTTTTCAGGGGAGAAGGAAATGTGAGAATTCCAGAGTTATGGTTGAGTCTTAGGGAATGACAGAAAATAGGTAGATGGGTGAGTGTTTCAAAATACCTAGAAAATGCTTTCATTTCTAAGAACTATCCAAAAGTAAGTAGTCATAAAATCTTAATAAGTTGTTAGAAATACATCCAAGAAATTCAACATAACTGGTTTTCACTGAATGAGATTTCCCTAAATTGAAGATGGATCTGTCCCAATGATCAAATGGAATGATGGCTCCATTCCCAAATAGAAGCCATCCTCTACTTCCGGCAATTCACATTTATGGCCCTTGGCCAGTTACACTGGTGCACCTCTTGCCCTAAAGGCAGCCCAAGTGGACAGACATTAGTCAGAGTCGGACTTGCTCCCAATACCAATTGGGTGACCATACATGCTGGTTGGCCTGGCATGATTATTAATCATGCCCCTTTCACATTCAAGTATCCCAGAATGGGGTGATAAATTATATGGTCATCTTACCTTTGGGCCTCACATTCAAACTGTCAGGCCCCCTCTCTGTACCCTTCCCGAAGCCCTAGGCTTTATTATGCCTCAGAACCCTTTCCCACACTCTTTTCACCAGGTTTTCAACAATAGGTCCTTGAAGTCTTAGTCAAATACAATAGCAGTAAAAATAAAGAACACTAAGAAATAGGGGTGAAATTTAGCTAAAAGAAGGCAATGAAAGAAGGATCAAAAAGAGGAGTGAGACTGTGGCTTGAGCAAGAGTTTCTCATGAATTATGATGGAATTGGCATTACTAATCCAGTTCTGAAGACAATTTCATGAGAGGAAATCCAAAATTGATATAAGCAGAGTGACTCTGAAAGACAGCAATCCATGAATTTATAAGTTCTGGGATGTTTATAGGAGAAAGAAAACAATAAAACCTCCAGCATTGCTTTATCATTACACTATGCATTCAAGACTTGCATGTTCACAGATCTGACTGACAGAAACTGCAGTTGCTCTCATTAAAACGCCATCCTAAGATGGTGTTCAGGGATCTGTGAGTGATTTGGGCTTTAGGTATTTTTGGATTCAGGATCAAATTCAGTTTTGTGGGTTTTTGAGGTTGGTTTGTGTTTAAAATAAATTAATAAAGGCTGGGCCTAGTGGCTTACACCTGTAATCCTAGCATTCTGGAAGGCCAAGGCGGGTGAATTGCCTGAGCTCAGGAGTTCAAGATCAGCCTGAGCAAGAGCGAGACCCTCTCTTTATTATTTTTTTTTTTT